TGCCATCATCCATGTCACTGACAATACCATGCCTCTCCAGCCACCGGAGATCTAGGAGCCTAAGTGAAAACTGGCGTGTTTCTTGCAAGAACAACTTGATTCTCCTCTCTTTCTACAGGTCAGTGTTGACTATACAGAAAAGATGGTGTCCATCAGCAACTATCCCCTCTCTGCTGCCCTGACGTGTGCTAAAGTTACTACTGCCTTTGAGGAAGTGTGGGGAGTAGTATGAGCTTCTGCTGCTACTGCTGTCTTTGGTGGACTCTTGGGTGTGGACCTGGGGCTTCCAGAAGGGAAAAGGCTTCAGTTTCACCCTTGTAGCTTCTGGAGCAGTGAGACTTTAAATGGACTGCAGCCTCGCTGACCTTTTTTCCCCCTCCGATTAAAGGTCACTTTTGATAAGAGTGCCTGCGTATTTCTGCTTTCCCACGGTTAACGTGTCTGGGGGCTTGATCCCTTTAGAGCAGGGACTCGGCCCAGACTTGTTACGGAAGCGAGATTCTCAGCTGTGCCCCGCTTCCCCCCGCTGCTGAAGTTACACCCCGCCGTAGCACCGGCGGCGCGCGACAGTCCGCTCTCCCACGCGGAGGCGCCCGCCAGGAAAGGAGCTGAAGCCGATATGAAAAAGACCAGGAGCAAATTTTTATCGTGGATGACAAACGTAGAAAAGTCAGGAGGTGGCTCCAATCCCACACGGTGCCTGCGCTGAGTGTTACAATCATCCGGTAGCGGCAGACGGAGACGAGCGTCCGCCGGAGGGCGGCAGAGAAATAAGGCAACATACAGAAGGTGGAGGATCGGGGAGGAGGCTTACTCCCTTCCCCTCCTTTTGGGTCTCTGACCCTGTGCTTTCTCTTTTCCCCCCTCCTCACGTTGGAAAAAGTCATACTTCGACACAGCAAACTTGGCAGGTGACGCTTTGCTTCCGGAGCGTTTAAATCGACTCCTACAAATGCACAGGTGGTACAATCTGAAAAAGAGAAAAAGCGCTGGATTGATGGTTTTACCCCATTTTGCTTGCCTTTCGCCCTGGGATGCAACACTGCTGCCCGTTTCACCTCCTAGGCCAAGTGCGGGATTCTCCCCACCCACTTTCAGCCTTACCTTTTGGCTGTTATTCTGCTTTTTTTAGCTTTTCTTTTTGTGGCACAAGTAATCTGCGAATGTAAGGCAACACCAACAGTAAGGTGAAGGACAACACGTGGCCGAGGAAATAAATAGACCTGTACACCTGCAAAGAGAAAGGCAGGGTTAAGGCTCGGCAAGCGGCTTTGAGCCGAGAACACGGGAGAGGGGATGGAGGGAGAAGGGTTGGCTGTGGCTATGAACTACCTTCATCCACTTGTCCCAGGTGAAAAGGCAGAATGGCACCAGGGAGTACCCCATAAACATCCAGTGGTTGGCCTGCAGCAGCACGTAAAAGATGGGCCGCAAGGCAGTGATGGAGGCCAAAGTGCTTAGGGCAGGACTATCCCGAACAAGGTTTATGACCTGATTGAAAGGAAAAAACACGAGTTGTCCTCAGTTGAACGTCCCATGGCTCTACATACGCAGGCTCTCAAGGGCCCAGAGTATCTATCATAGAATCCTAGAATCATGGAATGGTTTGGGTTGGAAGAGACCTTACAGACCATCCAGTTCCAACCCTCCTGCCATGGGCAGGGACACCTTCCACTAGACCAGGTTGCTCCAAGCCTCATCCAGCCTGGCCTTGAAGACAGCCAGGGATGGGGCATCCACAGCTTCTCTGGGCAACCTGTTCCAGTGCCTCACCACCCTCTCTGTGAAGAATTTCTTCCTGAATTTCTTCCTATCCAGCTGCGTAAAACAAACTTTAGTAAGCAGTTAGCTACTTCTTGAGACTAAGTGCCCCAATCTCGCTCCAAGTTGTCATTAAAACCACGGTTTAAATACGGAACGTTGTTCTCAGCACTGGGAGCTTTAGCAGAGGCATTCAGCTCGCACGCTCGTCCTCCAGCCTTGCCAGCTGCCAAGCACTTCAGCTGCCCTCGTGCCAAGTTCTGTGCTTTCCTCCCTGCCAGCTTCTGCGACAGATTTACGGCTCGCCCGTGCAGAAGCCAGCAACCCACTGGGCTCCCGAGCGCAGAGCTGTATCGCGTCCGAAAACCAGCTCCAAAGGGAGCAGCTATTTTTCATATTTAATCCCAGTAAAGCCTTCAGCGTGGCTGTTTCCAGACTCAGGGAAAGGCTAGTGCGGGCCACCCCATTCCGGTAAGTCGGAGCGCACCTGTCTTTCAACGATGACTATAAGCAACTCCATCTGAAAGCAGACCAGGTAGCCAGAGTGCAGCCCGTGCCAAATGGCCAGGAAGAACAGAGCCAGTGCCTGTGACAGCAGCTTGTTACCCAGGAACTTCAGGCGCTTGAAGACGTAGCTAGAGCAGAAAAGAAACAAAAGTACTTCGAGTTTATTGTCAGTCCTCCCCTTTCCTTGTCAGAGGGGCGGGGCCCAGGGGGTCTCTGCGCACTCCGTGGTGACAGAAACGGCACGACAGCTCCCTTTACCGGGGCAAAATACCTCAGCCCTTGCCTTAAAAGAAACGCCAGCTAAGGGGAAGGAGCGCTTCAGCCGACAGCGCGTACAGAAACGGCGGTTTACGCTTCAGCGGTGCGTCCCGCTGAGTGCCGAAGCGAAACCCGGATGACTCGTCGCCTTAAGGGAGCATCAAGAGGCACGATGTCGGAACCAGCTGTTGGGCCAGGCAGGCTGAAGGGCCTCGCCGCTGCGTGCCCGCCTTCCTGACCCGCCCTTTCAGGGGGGAATGAAAAGGTCTAACCCGTTTGAAACGGCACGGCGGCAAAACGTGGAAGAAAGGAGCGTGAGAACGGAAAACTGGCGGGTTCTTCCTCTCGTGCTCCCTCTCAGCCTAACGTTCTGTTGGCACAGACGTTACTGACGCTTCCCGGAAAGGGAGTTTTGTCCTGCTCACCGGGCCACCCAAGCGTTGGTGTTGATGTTGAAGGAAGCAATGGTCCCTGTGAACAAAGGTGTTGTCTCATACAGCCAGACCTTCATGTTGGCACAGGCATCCCACAACGGCTTTCCACTCTTGTCCTTCCCATTGTACCCCAGACCAACAAGGATGCAGACACCTTCCTACGGAAAAGGATTCACAAGGAGGATGAGAGGCAAACATCGCCCCTTGCGTGGGGTTTGTTTTTGGAAAGGCAGAGCTGGGGAAGCTCTGACTCTCGCCGTGTTGAGTGGAGAGCACCACTGCAGATGGAACACATTAGCAACGGCATGCTTTTTAATTAGCTAGCCTTTGCTGACTTCAGGCAAGCTAAACCGACCCGCGCTGACCTCCAGATACTTGGATTGCTTCCATTCAGCGCTAAGTCCAAGAGCACGCTAAGTGGCTGCAAAGGTGCACTCTTTGTTTGTCTTTTGTTTCTGGAACGACAGCCTCACCGTAACGAGCCAGCAAGTCACGTATTTGTAGAGTATAATTTTGCCCCAGATCAGTATGTAACCACAGCGGAACCAGAAAGGCTTCTCCTGCAGAGATGAGAGTGAAACAGAAAAAAGAAAATGACCCAAAACTGGAGTTGAGTGGCAATGATAAGATAGATGAGGTCTCATCCCTCTCTGGTTTTCACGTGACGTATGTGTGAGACCGCTGTATGTACTGGACTGCCACTGCAAATGTACACATCGTTCGCCTTCCTTTGGTCATATTTGGCTGCACCGAAATAGATACTTTGGGAAGGTTCTGGAATTGGCATAATCACTGCAGAATTTACACCCTGCTTATTCATACCGATGCAGAAACACTGATAATCTGCAGGTAGGAATTACTTGTTACGCGTTTTGTAGGACGTGATAGATTCTGCTTAAGCCTTGCAAGTCACTCCAGTGAAGTTCTTTGCAGGGAAAGATTAAATGGAAGGTCATTAAAAGGTCACAAAATGTTAGGTCTCCCCAAAACAACAGCAGCATCTAAGATGAACGCTCCCTTTGTAAGAGTTTTCGCCTGGTTCAGCTCAGCTCAACGCATCCCTGTTCTGCATCAAACGGAATCCCCAGGACAGGTGGTGGAGCCAAATGATCTTATCCCTAGTTGCTGACCTGTCTCCTTTTTCAACTGAGGCAAAACTTAAAATTAAAAAAAACAAAATCCGCTCTCACGGGTTTTAGCGCTCACCAGAAAAGCCAAATTCTCTTCCACACCCCAGAATTGCCAAGTAAATACGTACCATGTAGTCATCTGAGATGAGGTAATCATCAGAGACGTACAGGCTTGCCAAGGTATAGGTGACTAGAAACAAGAGACCCAAACTCAGGCGCTTGAGAGCAGGCAGGAAACTGAGAAATTAAAATGGGAAGGTCAAAGAAATGCCTTGAAAACCAGACCATCAAACTCGTCATTTTTTTAAAAACAGAAGTGGAGAAGAGGAAGCAGGGGGAGCTAGCGATAGGGAGTCACCACATTCCACTGCAGCAGATGCCTGCCTTTGGAAGTTGGGATGTAACATGACCAGGTTGGGACAGAGTCTGTACTCAAGATGTCAAACGGCTGTTGATGCTCGTGCCCCGGAACAACGCTAGGGAAATGAAGCAGAGAGTTGTGAGCAACTTTTGAACGACTGCCTCGTCTTACAGATCACTTTGGATCGCAGTACTTCAGTGTCCGGGTAAGAAGGCACTCTGCTGCAGGGAACAGGTAAAGGAATCAGCATTCTGGGATCTTAGGAAGGTGAGGAGCTAAGTGGCTTTGTATTACCTATTGGGTCTCTGGCCTGGAACGTCAGTCATCTCACCCCTTGCCAGTTTCTGATAGTCTGTCATGGAGAACTGAGGCCCCACCATGAAGGCACCATAGAAATAGGAGAATCCTGAGACCTCCAGCAAGGTAGGCACTCCCCGGACAGCAAATCGCCGCTGCTCAGGAGTCAGGAACTCCTGCACCAAAGGGAGTGGCATTAATATCATCCTAGGGGATCCCATACTAGCGCTGGATGTTATGTTCTCAGCCTACCTCCCCTCCTTAGCGGTCTCAGTTCTTGCTTTCCACATATATGGAACTTCCCACTCTGTACTTTGTTCATGTCCATTCCTCTCCCCAGCCCTCTCTATCCCCACCCCCTCTAAAGGGCAACTAGATCCAACGGGTGACACCAGTTGTGCAGATCTCTATTCCCAAATAAGCTCAAAACATGGATGTATTGACACGCATCCCCACCAGCAGAGCAGGCGCAGTAAAAGCACTGTATCCGACCTGCTCCAGTCCCCGACTGCCATCTCCCAAGACCTTATCGCCCTACAATTCTTACTTCTTCACACAAGAATTCGTTTTCTTTATATACTTAAAACTTCAGCTTAGGAAATCTCAGCTCAACCTTGTTTTCCTGCAGTCAGCCATGATTCTGTGGATGCTAAAGACTCGGTCGGGCCCCAAACAGGAGATGGGGAATGCAGGTACTCCAAGTAGGTGTGTAGCGAGCGACCTGCCCTCTCCCACACGTTGTGCTGTGCAACTTCTCTCACTGTTTCATCTGCTCTAAAAACTGGGGCCTAACAAATGGTGAAGGGCCAACCGTTCACAAGGATATGGTAAGACTAAGGAAAGGAAGGTGGGATCTGAGATCCAGTGCTGGCCATCTGCAAGTTAAAGGTACGCTACCCACGAGACACAGAGCATTTGGGATCGGGAATCTAAAGCAACAGATACGGGGGAAGGAGATGGTGGGGAATTTGGAAGGGGGTAGAATAATATTCTGACACGATTGAAACAACTTTTGTCCATCTCTAATCACTGCTGTCTCTGTTCCAAATTATTTCTTTCCACCCCAGAATTCAGTGCCCTCAGACACTCCCTCCCCTCTCAAGCATGGCTTTTACCACACCTCGAATGCAGCTTGCTAACTCCCATCCTTTGAACTTGATTTTCTGACCTCTAGCTCACTGGAATAGCATGGAAGAGGGGAAGAACAAAGGAGAAAGAGATCTTTTCCTCCATCGTAGTAATCGATGGCCAGACCTAGAGGTGAGAAACGATTATTTGAAGCCCTACGACAGGCTGGTTGGGCTGAACAAGCAGCCCTCTCTTCCCTGAGGCACGGCTTGCGGAGCGGAAGGGATGGAAGGGAGGTGTCACTCACCGATCAACTTGAGCGTCAAAACACAATGTGGCATTGTCCACTTGATGTCATAATGTTCTGTGGCTGTGAAGTAATATCCAGCCATAAGGTACGTCTGAAAGAAACCATTGTTTGGGTTATTCAAACTAATTCCTCCAGCCGGTTTTGATCTGTCTCCACTTTTCCACCCACAGCTGCTACTGGGAAGTGCGAGACTGAACAGAGGGCTGCTTTCTACAAACCGATGCATTAAGAAAGGGAGTTTTACCATCTGAAAGAAGAACGTGGTGAAGACGGCAGTGATTGTGCGACCCATTAGTCTCAGAACGAAGAACTGGATTAGGACACATAGCAGGGAATGAAAGAACTGCATCCCTGTGGGACAGGAAAGAGAGAGACAGACAAAGTATAAATGACATTTTCCCATTACAGGTTCTCCCAAACCACAGCAGGCCCTAGGCCAGGCAGCTCTCTCTTCCCCAAACTCATCTTACCAAAATTGAAGTAAGCAATTGAGAGTCCTGTGAACACATTGTAGAGATGAATGAGGTAGGCCTCCTTCTGGAAGAGGAAATAGCGCTGGAACAAGGCAAAAGGATATCCTGAGTAGAGGAGGAAAAAAAAAGAAAGATGAAAGAGTTACAAATTAGTGTCTAAAAGCGTTTGTAGTAGACCAGATTATAGCTTTCTTGAACATGTCATTAGGAACGTGTTCTTTACATAGATAGATCATCCACATGGGTCACAGTATACAATCCTGATACTGCACTTCCATCTCCGGGGACAGATGCCAGATGACTTGCTCTGTATGTTATACAGAAGAAAATACTTTGACAGGAACATTATTACATCAAAGTTGACACAGAAATGCAAGAAATTCCAAGATTACGGTTTCTGGCCTCATTCAATACACGAAATGGATAACGCTGAAATATATGACTCTAGTCTCTGATTCATTTCCAAATTCTGTGACAAATACAGTGAATGTGGCAAGAAGGTAGGTTAAAAAAAAAAAAAAAGGGGTGGATTTTATGGTTAATGCCATTACATTGCCCCAAAAATATTCAATCCCTGCTCCCACCTCCATCAGTTCTTACATCATGCTGACCAACTTTAATCCCCGAGTTTCCCAAGTGACCTCCAAGAGTAAAAAAAGCCTTGAAAAGAAAAAGAAAAGAAAAAGAAAGAGTATACTCCAAGAGTATACTCTTTCTTTTCTAATCTCTAACTCCAGATTTTAAGCTGGGCACACACAGCTATAACTAAAATCCACGGGGACTATGCACCTAGTAGTTTTGAAAAAAATCGAAGCAGAAGCATTTCATAGGGAACAGCTAAGTGGAAGGAGTTTTTTCCTCATGCTTTCTGCGTGTTAGCTCCCAGTGTAATGTAGGAATGTATCCAGGTTGGTCACCTGTGGCTCTGGCGAGAAGTAAACATTTGTGAAGCACTCTGGCAGTACAGTGAGAAGTGCCATACAGAAACCTGGGAGTAAATTAAATCCTGTCACCTAGGTGAGGTTCACAGAGCATGCAATAAACATTGCCACATATCAGACAATAAATGTATTGTGGTTTAATACATACAGACGCAGGTATCTCGTGAGGACGTGAAGCCTGTTCCCACAATTAGTCTTTTTGCACGTGCATAACGAGCTGAATTGGGCTAGCAGAAGCAACTTTACTTCTGGCACTTCGTAACTTATCGCTTTACTTTGTGAGCTTCTGTTCTTTTATCCCAATTAAAAACACCACCACCACCACACCCCCCAAAAAATCTCTTCTACCAAAAAAATAGGATACGCATCACGTACCATAGTGCTGGTACCCAACTGCTGCTTAGCCTAGCTGAGATCTGTACCAGCAGACAGATCTCTGCTACTTGCACTCAGGGAGTAACAGTAGCAGTAGGCAGTCATTTTTTATATGGAGCAGTAAGAAAAGGTGATGAAATGCACATTTGGCCGAGAAGTGTCTGACGGATGAAAGGTTTCCAATGTGCAAGGCCAAATCCAGTCACTACCGTGAGAGGAAGCTCTGCCATGTTACGTAAAATACACGTATCGCAGTCTGTTGGTGCCAACGGGCTGAGGTGTGACTGGAGCCATTCCACGGCCCTTTCTGCCACCAGATCCCTTGGGAGGGAGTCCCAGAGAATTCTGGTCTCCCTTCTAGATCCCGCACGGCAGCACACCCTACCAAGCCCAGATGTGTACCTGCTGCTGCTTGAAACCAAGCCACTGCTCCCCTTTTCCTCAGCCTCTTCCCACCCCTCTTTCGGCCTTCCCTGCCGCCCCATTCCTGTTCCTTCCTCCTTTTGTGTCCTGCGCTGGTTTCCATGCCATGGGCCACTTTCTCGGCCTGAGCAGCCGGCCAGCCCCACATACCACAGCCTGTCGCCCTCAGAGCCTGGCAACCTCGCCCCTGCTCATCCAGCTCGCTCTGTCCTCCTGCAGCAGTGGCTCCAAGTGCCCGTACAAAATGTCTTACCCAAACCATTCCAGTCCCCTCCTGCTCCCCCACGCTCTTTGCACGGCCTGCTTTCCGTTACCTGTCATGCAGCTCTGTCTCATGCCCCCCACTGCTTCCCTGAGCGCCAGCCGAGGGGCGACGAGGGAATCGGCAGGCAGAGTTCATCACACAGGCTCTCTGGGGATGCGGGAATAACTCGGAGAATTAGAGCAATTCACATTATTTAAAAAAAAAAAAAAAGTAAGTCGTATTGTCTACCAGCCTTATACTCAGAAACATGTAGATGGGGATTC